AACCTTTTTCATTCATTCAATGTGTCTCCTCTATTCTGCATTCCGAAACACCCTCCCCCCCTTCTCTCTCTCTCTCTCTCTCTCTTTCTCTCTCTCTCTTTCCCCCTCTCTCTCTCTTACTCTCCCTCTCTCTTTCTCTCTCTCTCCTTTTTCTCTCAGTTGCATTTGAAATTATTTAAAGAATTCACAGATTATCATAGAATCCATGGTCTTCTTTAGGCATCACGACTGTTAGTCCCTGGAGGTGCATGAATTTCACATAAGTGACCTTCAAGGCTTCTGTGTAAAGAGTTCCGGGTAGGCTATTACAGTGGGTATCTCTGCATTTTCTTTTCCTTGAGAAGATCCTTCCAGTTCTCACAAATGTCAAAATGAACTATAATATACCTAAGACAACAAATGTCCACCACATGTGGGTCACATCTTCCACAACCGGCCCTCACACTTTTGCATGGTCTTCGTTTGGAATAATTCTTGAAAAACATGCGATCTTGGTATTGACCTCAAAGAGTCTGGAATGACCTCAAAGAGTCTGGAGTTGAGCCTAGCTTTGCCCATGATGCTAATGTAGTCTACTGGCATGGAGACAGGAATACCTTTTGACACTAATTCTGTCAAGTTATGATAGGAATCAACTTCCGTGAGAGTGTGTCCTTTGAATAGACACTTATGTTCCACCGTTTTATTTGTGCAAGCGGAGAAGTCACTAATGGTGTTGGCAAGTACAAATTCTTATTCAGACAGACACATCTATCATCGAAAAAAAGGATCTTGTCTTCTTCGGTTTTACCCGCAACATAATCTACCACACATGATGCAAATTCGTTTGGCGTGAACCCGCCTTCTCCCTTATGTCTCAGGTAACACATCACATCCCTGGAGACTAGATCATACACCGTGTAGTCGTATACTGTGAGTTTCGTTTTGCAGTAGATGACAGATGCCTGAAGTGAAGGAGTGAGAGAAGCCCAGATTCCAAGATGTAGCAAATCAGGAAGCATCAGCCATTCTATCCGTGTACACCAATCCCAGTATTTTGGCTGAACACCTTTTATGTCCAATTAATTTTTTTTAAATTGAGTGCGGGTTTTATTAAACAGTAAATTTCGGTTTCCAAGGACTCTCAAGGTATGGAAATTCACAAACTTTAACCGCCATTTTCTCATGGATTTTACTTCGGAAACCAAACAACCCCCCCC